GACTGGACACAAAGCTGCAGGGGAGGTCAAACAAGAGCAGATAAGAAGCCAAGATTCCCCTCCCTTGACGTGCTGGCCATGTTTGTGTTGGTGCAGCCTAGGACATGATTGAATTTCTGGCCTGAAAGTGCACATTGCTGGCTCATGTCCAATTTTTAAATCTCCAGTATCCCATGTCTCTTTTAAAGGTCTGCTCTCAGTCCTTTGTTCTCCCAGACTGTTCTGATACTGTGGATTTCCTCAATGCAATTTTCCTGGGAAAATTTCTGGAGAGGAAGAGGCAGGGAGAAGCACAGAGGAAGGAGAGATGAAGGGGGTGTGGGCTGAGTGTCTCCAAGGGCTGCCCAGGAGCTCTCCAAAGCAGTGCAGTGACAGCAGCACAGGCTGCAGGGAAGCTTGCACATGGTGAAGAGGAGATGCTGCACTGCTGCAGGACACAGCTGGGTGTGATGACATATGTCCATCCAGAGGCCGGATGGGAAGTTGGCTGTGTCGTAGCCAACCCTGTCACATCATTCCATCTCTGAAAAGCTGGGCCCAGAGAAGGTGCTTTTGTGGTAACATCATCAAAACAAGCACAACTCCCAGGGCTGTCCCTGGACACAAAGACTGTCACCAACATCCTGGGCTTTCCGAGCAGGACCACAGCCAGGACACCGATGGCAGCAAAGATCCCCCTCTGCTCAGCACTGCCCGGATGGCACCTGGCATGTTGTGCTGCCTGTTGGAGGGGAGTGCAAGGAAAAGCTCAACCAAGAGAAGCCAAATATATGAAATACACTGGCCAGGATGGTGAGTGGGCTGGAACACTCTCCTGGGGATGAGAGGCTGAGGACACAGGGTTTGCTGAGAAGAGAGAAGAGAATGCTCTGATGGGATAACTAAAATAATTTGTGGAGTAGCTGTGGTCATTGCACAGTGTCAGGTAATTCTTCCGGGTACAGAGAGGCAGAGAAATTCAGAAAGGTGACCCCAAATATGACTAATCAATGCTGTGTTAACATAATCAATGCTCTGCTGACGACCATGGCATTACCATCCCTAACGACCCCCTCCCAGAACCGCACAGCAACACCTCTCTCCCTGGCCATGTTGGATGAGGATCTGCAGGGGAAAGGATGACACAGAGGCGTGGGCTGGGATGCAGGAGAACTTTAATGAGTCCAAAGATTAGAAAGAAGTCACTCTGAGTGGAGATCCCAGTGAAGAGAGCACTGATGCTCTATCCCTGGGCTTGTACCATCCTGTGTGCCCCTGGGTTCCTTGCCAGGGCCAGGGCCAGCAGCTTTAGCAGGGGAAGCAGCTCCTGCCACAGAGGCCACTGCCCAGGCCAGAGAGGCCAAAGCCCCCGGAGTTGATGGGCACTCCCTGAGAGCTGAGGATGCTGCCAACGGCAGCGGAGGTGGAGGATCCCACGGCGGTGTTCTGTGGGAAG